CACGGGGCGCCCGCGCGCCCCGCCCGCCTGTGTACTCCGGGCGAGAAAAGCTGCTCCGTGTCTCCCTGGTCTGCAGACCAGGAAGACATGGAGCAAAGCCCCGGAGGGGATCAGGCAGCGGGGCAGCCCAGGCGCGCCTGGGCTGCTCCACTGCCGGCTTCCCCGAGGCTTTGCTTCCGCTTTGCTCTGCTCTGCTGCCCGAGCCCCTCCGCGGCTTCCTGCAGACCAGGAAGACGCAGAGAAAGCCCCGGAGTACACGGGCGGCAGGACCGCGAGGTCCCACAGTCCGTGTCCTCCGGAGCGAGCCCCGTTCGTAACTGCGGATCTGACATAAGTCGGATCTGCGTAAGTCGGGGACTGCCTGTACCTCAAACCCAAATATCTCTGCCCCACCTCCTTTGTGCTGCTTCTCCAAGGCCCCATGCCTGCTCACTCCATCCTTCCTCCCTCCCCCATCCTTCCTCCCTTTCATCAGACAGGGGCAGAGGTTGGGGCACAGGCTTTGGTTTTGGGCTAAGGGATTTGGAGTTTGAGAAGGACTCTGAGCTGAGCCTGGGGCAGGGGTTGGGGTGCCATAGGTGGTTCAGGGTAAGGCTCTGTAAGGGAGTCTGGGTCTTGGGGGGCTCAAGGCTAGGGCAGGGGGTTCATGACTGGGGCAGGGAGTGGAGGGGGTTCATGACTGGAACAGGGATTCAGGATGCAGGCTCCAGCTGGACTTTGCTTACCACAGTTGGCTCTAGTGGGGTGGTGCAGTGGGGCTAAGGCAGGCTCACCCCTACCCTGGTCCTGCACCACTCCAAAAAGCATCTAGCAAACTCCCTCCATCCAAACCCTGTTGTGCCCCCCTCCCCTGTTCTGTGGTAATTGAATACAGGGTGGGAGAGGAGAAACAGCTCCAAGGCAAAGGGTAGGAGTTGCACAGCAGTGGGGGGAGGGGCAGCGGACGTGCCAGCCCTTGATAGTTTCTTGGCCAAACCAGTCAAGATCACCTGTCAGAGGTCCAAGATCTATCAGTAGATCCTGATCTACTGGTTGGTGACCACTGATCTACACATATACATGCTGTTGGGCCATCTTCTGCGATGAACTCCTATGTTAACAAACAGGATTACATATATCCCACTTAAAATGTGTACTTCCCCTAGCAGAAAAAAAAGTCACAGTAACTTAATTACATTGGTTTTAGTCATAAATATAGTTATGAATGAGACAAAATAAAAGTTTATAATATTAAAGCAAAATATTAAAGAAAACCCACCATGAATACAGAAAAGCAAACAGAGATGTGTGCTTACAGTCGCCAATCATATAGGATAACATGATTAGCATTATAATAATTTGGATAGCTTCATTTTGCTAAAACACTTGTCTACGGTAAACAAACATTACACTGAAGTGGCTCAAGAATTTCTAGAATAGATCTGCTGTTCTTAAATTATAGTTGCAAGACATCTAACTTTTCTTTTTTAAAACCCACCATAATGGCCACAACTCAAACTATCACAACTCAAGTGAGGCAAGTGGTTATCAGTGATTACTGCTTTTCTGCTAAGATCTGTTCACTTCATAATTCCTTTTCATCCTCCTACCCCTCCCTCACACTATTTTCCCATTTTGTCCATTTATATTGTGTAACCCTTCTGCCGGGTAGGCCTGGCAGCAAGCAGGGCCGGATTCAATATCTTGGGGTCCAAATCACACAGAACCGGCTCGAGCCCCCACCCAGTAACCTGGGAAATTCACACACCCCTGGGTGCCTCTGAGAGGCAATGCTTCCCCACTCACAAGCACATTGTCTGAGTGTAGGAAAGAAACATTTAATGAAACAGAGAGAGAAGTCATACGGCATTAACTTGGGAAATACCACAAACAGAGTTCATAACCCAAACATGAGCTAAGCCTCCCTGCCCCCCAGCCACGAATCATCCAAAGTCCCAAAGTCTGACACCCCAAAAGTCCCTGGTCAGTGCCACCCAGAGTCCAAAAGTTCACCTAGAGGTTTTCACCTCCCAACCTGGGTAGAAATGGGTGGGGGGGAATAGATAGGGTTATTCCCCCACCTTATGAGTCACTCCACCACGCTCCACCAGCTGTCTTGTTCCACACCACCAGATGCTCCGCTGGTTGCCTGCCGCCGCTCCTCGCCTGCCGCCGCTCCACACCACGTCGCTGGTCACCGCTACTTCACTGGTGCAACAGGTCTGGTACTCAGCCAAACCAGTGATTTCAGCTCTCAGTGATTTCAACTCTTTAGCCACCAGCTGGACTGGCAAATGAGTCCAGCTTTCACTGGACTAGCAAAAGAAAAGACTCCTCAGGGAGTCTGCTTGAGGTCTGTCCTTAAAACAAAGGGGGAAAGGTGCAGGCTGGGCCAGTCTTATAGCAGTTGGGCCACTCTTACAGCTCATTCCACAAGGTGTAACAGTTAACTCGAACTAAGGACTTAGTTCAAGTTAACATTTGATTGCTGCGTGTAGCCACAGGCAATTAGTTCAGACTAAGGGGTTTTAAAAATGGCGCCCAGACAGGAAGATGCAAATAAAGCCCGGGATATTTAAATGCCTATATTAGCCTCCCTAGTTCAAACTAGGGGGCTAGTGTAGACATACCCCAAGACATTACAAATTAGCTTAGGAAGAAGAGGGTTGTGAGCATTGTCATGTTTTTGTGTATGCAAACCAGGCTTCTTAC